AAGACTCGGCCCAGGTAGCCCGCGGATTCGAACGCATATACAAACGCAGTCCGCTGACGTGGCCAACAGAGCTGCAAGTTGACCCCGGGCGGGAGTTCATGGGTGCTGTGTCACACCTGCTGGACAAACACGATACCAAGGTCAGGCATGGCACGGCCGGAGCCCATCGCAGCCAAGCCATAGTTGAGAGATTCAATAGGACTTTGGCTGGGCGCTTATTTGGGCATCAGTATGCGAGAGAGATGGCCAACCCAGGGAAACGATCGACTGAATGGGTAGCGCGGCTACCTGAGGTGGTCAGCCATCAACCATGAAGCCACCCGGCTCACTGGCAAGAAACCAGCAGACGCTATCAAACTAAAATCAATAGTGGCTGAGTCTGCTGCACCATTGCGTGGGAAGGAGAAACAGATACCAGATAGAGCCCTAGTGAGGTACCTATACCAGCCGGGGGAACACAAGGGTGATAGCCGTAAGCGAGCCACCGATCCGATATGGTCAGTCAAAACTTACAACATAGATAAAGTGGACATCAAAGCAGACGAGCCTAACTTGTACTACTTGAGGGATGGGCCAGGGAGAGGGTTCGTTAGAGAGGAATTATTGATCATACCGTACGGCACAATGTTACCTCCTGTCAACACGTACATAGCGGTACAGTAGTGTCACGCGTGGCCGGGAAGTTAACTGGGGATTCAAACAGTAGTAGACAATGGCGGGTTAGATCTAAGGGTCTGACAAAAGCTTTATTTGTGAAATAAAACTTTACAGCGACCTTTCTAGAAAGTGATCTCATACCCCCATTACTTCTACTACTCTATGAACCTGATGTTGATACTGATAAAAGCGGCGTGAAACACAAACGCTTACTCACTCCTTGTAAACAGCATTGTTTACTATATGCTGGAGGTGCCAATTACAAATAAAATAACATGTATATCATAACGTTTCATGTTGATTTATTTCTTTTGTTTCAGAAACAACAATCTCTATCCAGTGATGAAAGCCGTGCTGTCACGTGTCTCGAGATTCTCATTAACAAGGATATGGAACTATACAAGGACAAAATAGAGCTAATCTATTTGAAAGAGGAAAGACTCAGACAGACCCCTCTACACTTTGCGGTGATGTCAGGAAGTCTCGACAGCGTCGTCAAATTAATTGAGATGGACAAGAACAAAGAAAAAGATCCACTCTTACATGTAAGTGTTGGTGATAGAGCCTTCCTGATACATGTAAGTGTAGGTTATAGAGCCGTGCTCATACATGTAAGTGTTGGTTATAGAGCCTTCCTCATACATGTAAGTGTTGGTGATAGAGCCTTCCTCATACATGTAAGTGTTGGTGATAGAGCCGTGCTGATACATGTAGGTGTTGGTGATAGAGCCTTCCTCATACATGTAAGTGTTGGTTATAGAGCCGTGCTCATACGTTTAAGTATTGGTTATAGAGCTTTCCTCTTATATGTAAGTGTTGGTGATAGAGCAGTGCTCATACATGTAAGTGTTGGTTATAGAGCTTTCCTCATACATGTAAGTGTTGGAGATAGAACCTTCCTCATACATGTAAGTGTTGGTGATAGAGCCTTCCTCATACATGTAAGTGTTGGAGATAGAACCTTCCTCATACATGTAAGTGTTGATGATAGGGCCTTCCTCATACATGTCAGTGTTGGTGATAGAGCCTTCCTATACATGTCAGTGTTGGTGATGGAGCCGTGCTGATACATGTAAGTGTTGATGATAGGGCCTTCCTATACATGTAAGTGTTGCTGATAGATCCTTGCTCATATATATATGTGTTGGCTATAGATTGCAGCTCCTGGACGTATGTGGGAGGCAAATGAATAAATATATGTGGGGTTTTCGTTTCTCATACACAAGGCACCATATGTGCATCCCTTGCCCACACCAGAAACCAATAATGATAAGTCCGAATCTGGGTTCGTCCCGATCCCGTGTGTGAAGACCTGACCCGTCTGGAATGCCATGAATCATACTCAAACCCAACTAAGGCGCTCGGTTTTCCAGGAAAAAGACAGACATGGCATGACTCCGGTCCACGTGGCAGCCACTTACCGTCAAGTGGACATCATGCAATATTTGATAGGCAAAGGCGCTGAAACCACCATGAAGGACAATGAATCATCTTTTCCTCTGCATTACGCATGCTCAACAGGAAGTTTGGAAATGGTCAATCTCCTCATTAAAGAGGGCAAAGGCAACATCGGGACGGTAAGTGACATTGTAAACCAAAGATTTCATAACTCAAATCACATATGTTTGCCCCTGTCAGAATAATGAAGCCTTTTTTAGATTCATAATATTTATAAACATCGCAAATGCCACAGAATAACACGTCTCCTCTGTCCAGTAAAACAGATTCATTCAGGCGTAAAAGACAAAACAGTGGTGAAAATAGTGTGAATACATTACTCGTCCTCAAACAGCTCATTGCCAGAAACACTCATATCAAAACTACAACGAGTACAAACCTCAGCAGATCGCATTGGCAAAAAAGTGTCCAAGAGAGAACATATCTCCCCAGTATTACAAGCCTTACAAGGTTGTCTATAAGAGCCAGAATGGAGTACAAAATCCCGATTCTTGCCCACCAGTGCTATCGTGAAACTGCTCCTGACTACCTCAATGAATTGGTGACCAAACATGTTCCATTGAGATTTACGATCAGCTGATCAACATCTGTTGGTCGTCCCAAGACGTAAACTAAAAGCCTTTGGTTCCGCTCTTTTAGTTATGGAGCCCCATCACTATGGAACCAGGTGCCACTCGAACTCAGACGATCAACATCACTTTATTCCTTCAAATGTGCCTTGAAAAACGTTCCTCTTCAGAAAATATTCAGTGTTTAACAAATATATCCTGAAATATTTTGGCGATTACGAGTGGGAAGTGACTGGTCCTGAGCAGCAAAAACGAAGCCCTCAGTTTCACATTTAAGACCAGCCGACTTCATCCAGGCGAAGGAGTCGGTGGGATTGCTATTCTGTTCAACACACTGCATGTACACACGATGCAATGGCTTCTCAGAAAGCTTCTCCACAAAAGACCGACTCTGGGTAGACTTGGTGAAGGACTTCACCTGGTTTACTCCCATCAATGTACCGTCCAGTAGTACATCGCCATCAACAAAATCAACCTCAAATCCCAGATTCTGTCCAACAACCTTGGCACGCTTAAAATAGCTGTGGAATTCTTTGCTTTCATCATGAGTCTTGACATGCATCACCAGAGGATCACCCGATAAATAAATATGTGCAAAAGTACACAATAAAATTCTATCATGAATAGCCTCCACATTAATCAAACCCCGACCTCCAGAGTTCATTGGCATATAAACGGTTGAGAGAGGAACGAGGGTGGTGGGCTCTGTTATCAGACATGATCCTTCTGGTCAGACGGTCAAGACTCTGGATGTCTTGTTTTGTCCAATCAACTATTCCAAAGGAATAGGAGAGGACTGGCACAGCAAAAGAATTTGTGGCTTTGACCTCATTCGTGAGGGACAGAGTCGTATGCTTTTTTGTAGTCAATCCAGCACATGGAGAGGTTGCGGTGATAGTTTTTAGCCTCTTCCAAAATCATTTTCTGTACAAGAAGTTGATCCTTGCACCCCCAACATCCCTTTGTCGCTCCCTTCTGCTCTCTGTAAATTGTATCATTGGAAGAGCAGTAAGATGACATGAGGTTTGCAACCGTATTATTATTATTATTATTATTAGTTGTCTGGGACGCCGGAAGGTACTGCGTCTCGACATACCCGATCACCGTGTCAAGGGCCTCCTTTCACGAAGCAACGTTTACTGAGGTTACCCTTAATTCCCATTCTTTAACATTGCACTAAGGTTACCTTAGTGACTTACGATCACGTTAGCGCTTTGTGAAAGGAGGCCCTGGTTACGTTCTTGGTTTCTGTGCGTTAAACTTATACTCTCGCCAAGACCTGCATCACTTTGTTCGTTCAAGTGATGTCATTAGGCGACAAAACCCTGTCTTACATATTTTGGAGAATGTCCGTTGGAAGAAGTGTCCGTTCTAGACTACGACTATATGATAAGCAATGATTACACATTGATTACAAAATGCCATTTGGAAAGTGTAATCCAAAATATAACATATGTTATACATGATAAACATTCATGAATCACAGTCAGTTAGTAATGATATCAGGTGTTCGCGGGAGGGTTAGCATTTCCTACCCAGTCATTCTCACCCGTCAGAAACTACGTTATTTTGACTTTAGCAGTCAGAACAGAAATCCTTTATTCACATATATGAAGACACAATTCAGCACTGATCCTTGCGACCGTCGGAGATTCTTGACTAAATGTCCAACTGACAAATTTCATATAAATGTTATAGACGAGGAATACAGTAGTTGTAAACTTTGTTAATTCAGTGATCTCCTGTGGAAAGAGGAATTCTGGGGAACATATGCATGTTTCCATGTCCCAGAACGTGTATGAATCTATATATACATAGAACACATATCGTGAAAGAATAGTGTGCCAATGCTTGTTATCGATGAAACATGTTGGCACAATTCCTCCTTGAGTTTCAGAATTGTTGTATGACTGACACAGCCTGGAGTTGAAGGTTCATGTTTATCCTGTATTTCTATGTAGCTCATCTTTAACGTTTGTATGAAACAGGGGATACGTATCGTAAAGCAGGCTTTATTTGTTCTCACAGATGATGGGGCAGAGAGCAAAGGGAGGTAACACTTGTCTACATATCGCTATAGAAAACGGACATGAAGGAATAATTCAAACGCTGCTTAAGAATGGTAAGTTTTCTTTCTGTTGTCCAACTGAGATGGAATGTGACTCTAGTGTATGTTTCACACACCGAAATAATGGGATTATGTGGTCTTAAGGTCACCGTGATGTTCCTGGCTGACCACATCAACCTTATTGTGTATACTCTCGTATGTATGGTCTTAGTCACTCACGAAGGTGCAAATGTTTTAGATGCGCAGGTTTCCGTCAAACGTGACGACGGTATGTGTCCCGTGCATCTGGCCGTCATTTCCGGAAATCTAAATGTGATACAGTCTATTGTATCCCTGACTGGGCGGCAGCAGCAGGACGTCGCGAACAAGGCTGGGTCGACACCCCTTCACCTCGCAGCACAATACAACCAGCTGGACATAGCCAAATACCTGATTGAAGAAAGGTACTCCTCTGCTGTGAAGTTTAACGCTGCTTTTAACATCCATCCGTCCATCACCCTCTACCCACCCACCCATCTATTACCCACTCATCCATCGATTCATCCATCCACCTATCAACCACCCATCCGCCCATCATCTATCCACCCATCGATCAATCATCATCCACCAATCATCCATCCACCCATCGATCAATCATCATCCACCAATCATCCATCCACCCATCGATCAATCATCATCCACCAATCATGCATCCAATAGTTCAGAACGTGGCGTCAACCATCAATTAATCAAGAAACGTTAAGCGCTCACATGGTGTTATCTAGTATGATTGTAAATATAGTGATTACCGTTATCACAGACCCGAACACGGCATTAAACATCCAATACCATCACAGACGAACTACTGCTTGTATTGCAGGGTGAACATTGGGGCGACTGATAACGAATCCAATACTCCACTACACGTAGCTGCCTCATTCGAACACGCAGATATAATCCGATTGCTGATGGAGAATGGAGGAAAGATCAACGTTAAAAACCAGAAGGGTCAGATACCGTTACATCTGGCGGCTCGGATGGGGCACATGCAGTCGTTAAAGGTAAGTAATCAAGAGCCATCTTCACAAATACTTTTAGTTGTGTATATGGAGAAAGGGAAAGTAAGTCGGCAACCGTGGTCTTTACAAATACTTTTACTTGTGTACCTTGAGAAAGTGAAAGTACGTCGGCAACAGTGGTCTTCACAAATACTTTTACTTGTGTACACGAGGACTGTGAAGGTAAGTAGGCAACAGGGTGCCGTTGTACAAAGTAGCCATAGCACAAAGGTGATCGCAACTCCCATACCTTAGCATAAACTTACGACAGTCGTAGCGCTAAGATTGTTTTGTACAATGACACCCTGTGGCTCCTTTCACGAAGCAACCTTTACTAAGGTGAACTTTAACTCCCATTCTTTAACATTGCACTAAGGTGTAAGTCACTAGGGTAACCTTAGTGCAATGGTAAAGAATGGGAGTTAAGGTGAACCTTAGTTTAGGTTGCTTCGTAAAGGAGCCCCAGGTCGTTAAAGAATTGCAAGGCAATGGGGCAGCTGTTAACGCTTCTGTTAAACACATTGAGACAACGGTCAAGGCTTGTGATCTTCACAGAAGACACTTGCAAGGCAGAATTAATCAGCCTGTGTACAAGAATCCACCTTGTTTCAGTATCTCCTGGACCCTCGTCTCTTGAAACACGGGAAGGAGTTCATGGAACTCAAGGAGGAGGAAAACGGGAACTTCTTCTTCAAAAAGCTTCAGGTCAGGATGAGATAACAGACACAGACTATGACAATTAGATTGGACATTTGTAACTTGGTAGTAATTCACGTTTGCATGGCTCATCAGGTAGGTACTGGTGATAAACATAAACAAGTGGTCAGTGTGTGGCTGTTTTATTCCGGCTGTGATCAAGGCTATTATTTAAGGGAGGTAACTCTGCCGCGATTCTTTTCGGCATCAGTTAACCGTAGGCCTTTCCATAATGAAGATGACCCATGCTATATTTAATGGTCAGTTAGACCGGTTATATTTTAGTATAAATGAATCATCTGTACTCCAGATTTAGCAGTGTCCCAGCTTTATTTAGGTGACGACTGATCGGAAGGAGAACTCTTTATTTCAGCATATTTCAAAGCAAAACGGCAAGGATGTGGAATTCAAGGTCCGGAAAGCAGTAGAAGATGTTAGAGATAAGCTGGAGGTATGAGGCCAGAATAGACTCTACAGTCTTTCCCGTCAATTCCAAACTGCAAGAGTAACATCTTTTTTCAACCTTTTCTAATTGCTGTTACCAACATCCAAATATTTATTTGTTATGGGCATATCCTTCCATAATGACATACTCCAATGTGGATTAGACAGTCCAGTAATTGATATTGTGAGCCTCTATCCGCGTCCATGGTGAACGACGAGACGTCTCTAACGACCAGTATACGTTCCTGCTCACAAACTCTTCTGTTACTGTGTTTTTCAGAAAGAGGCTAAATCTGTTGATGACAGGATACCTACACAGAGAATCTACCGGATCGTACAGGCGCTCGGGCCCCCAGAAGTGAGTGAGTGGGGTGAGTGAGTGAGTGAGTGAGTGAAAACACTGTGACACACTGAGGAGACGGTGATTTAGACTAACTTCATTCAGAAGTCAAAGCCGATTCCGTCACTTGGAATTTTAGGTAGATACTTGAATTGAAATAGGAAATACTGGACTTAAAAAGTTAAGAATTGCAACGCATATTGTATATGAATTGCAAACGAATTGGGAAGACATCACAGTGTGTAGTAAAGTTTGAGAGAAGATGTTATAACAACCTTGAAGAACAGTTCAGCCATTTGGGTCGGTAGCCCATGGCGTTGACGACCACGACTCTCTGTAATGTCCCAGGCTGATTTAAGTAGAGAGAAAATGTCTGTGCACATTGTTGACCATGATATTCTGTGGATGCAGTTTTACTGGAGCTGAGCATTGACGATTTAAGCACGGTTAGCACTGGGGTTGTCTCCCTTAGTGGCGAAACATCGATCTACACAACTTGCAAACAGTACAACATGGGGTGTCAGTAGCTTGCAAAGAGTACAACATGGGGTGTCAGTAGCTTGCAAAGAGTACAACATCGGGTGTCAGTAGCTTGCAAAGAGTACAACATGGGGTGTCAGTAGCTTGCAAAGAGTACAACATGGGGTGTCAGTAGCTTGCAAACGTCGCATTGCTAGTATATACACAAACAATGGATGACATAAAAATATCTTTTTCTGTAAATCGTGGGTGGTGCTGCTGTGTTGCTAATTTGTTTTCAAGTTACGTTTTACAGACATAAACGTTCTTATATTGAATTTTCATGCATAGAATATACACAATTCTGCCTGACTCCCACTTCAACCATGCCTTGCAGGAAGTTCATGCCGAGGAACAGGAGAAGAAGGCTGCTAGACCAACCAGGACATCAAGGGTTGCACCGCATTCAGTAAGTGGCAGTGCATTCAAGAGGACAAGTGACTCTAGTAACAGTAAAGAATTTGTAAAAGAAGGCTTATACATCTGGAATTTGTACCAGTCTATAATTACCGCGACCTTTTGTCTTATGACTATGATCTTTTATAAAGTATATATGCTTGGTACAGTGCATAATTCTCTCTAAATGCTTAAAGATGCAGTTATGTCCACAGGCATCATCTGAGACAGGGAACAATTCAACAAAATACGTGAAGGTGAGTGAGTGAGTGAGTTTGGTTTATCGCCGCCTGGAACAGAATTCCAGGAATATCATGTCGTGTCAGCTATGTTGGTGAGACCTAGTATGCTGCTGATATGACGCAGCGAACCGAGATTTGAACCCACACTCATAGGTCTGTGTTTGGTCCAAGGGCCACAACTCAACTGAGCACATTGCGCCTCCTTACAAGCCCTTGCCTCGTAGTCTTCAAACGTTTAGACGCCACTGGCGTACCATACGGGGCAAATTCGGCACAGGTACGGGTTCATGGTGTCTTGTTTCCCGTCCTTTAGAAATTCCTGAAACTGATCTACACAGACAACATCATCAACACCGAGGACAACTTCGGCAACACGGCCCTGCACCTGGCGGCCCAGAACGGACACACGGGGATTGTAAAGGTAAACCTCGTGATTCTGATTATGTGGACACACGTGGAAGTGGGTCAAAAGTAACTATTTACTCTGATCAATCTGATTTAATCAGAATATTTGCTTCCCCAGCTTAATTCCCCTAAGGATTACAGGGCCGTAGGGAGCCCAGGGGGAGCCGTAGGGAGCCCAGAATCTTTTTACAGATTAATTTTTGTGCATCAAACTATTGATATAACACTGTTTTATGTCAGACAGTGCTATAGAGTAACAATAGGCGCACATCCTTACAATGGCTATTTTATAGTATGATGGTATTTCAGGTTAAAGCAGATATTTTTCAATATTTAGTAGTGATTTGTATTGAGAGTAATATATGCATTTGGAAGATTCTGAAAGAGATAAGTTCCAACTCTGAGTCAGACAGTCTTATAATCTTTGTTTAAACATATACATATTGTATCCCCAGTGGGTATATATGGAGTTTATATGTTTTTCTTTTATTTGAACAGAAAATGCTTTCAAATCACAAAGCTGAGCATGGTCGAAAAAATGACAGCGAAAGAACGGCGCTCCACCTAGCGGCTGAGAATGGACACACACAGTACTGATTTAGTTTTTATTGGCGTCTCAAAAAGTCTTTAGATTGATTTATTGAATTGCTTAATAAACTGCCCGTTTTATGTGATGTTTGTTTCATATTTATCTATATAAATTCAGAAATTCGGGTTTGTTTTTTTCAGATTTAGCTTCAAAAGTATTTTGAAATGACCAGTGCCGAAAGCGAAAGCCACAAAAGGATTCAAATACAGATTTTTGTTCGGCGGATATTTATGTTACTTTTCGATATGTATTCACGCCGGTGTTGGTGCTTATGTGAAAGCCTACGTATATTTAATGGAATCAGAGTTTCAGCGAGAATCTGTTTCATGTTGCCAGGACAGTCCAGGAGATACTGGCAGTTCACAAACATGGCGTGTTTGCAGAGGATCAGAGTCGCAACACGCCTCTACACCTGGCCGCCAGAGGGGGACACAAGGAAACAGTTCAACTCCTCGTCAAGAATGGAGCGGACGTTAACCAAATGTAAATGCTTAAGATCTTAGTGTCTCATCAGAGTAACCATCTAGGGCTTACTTCCCGACGTATGTACTATGTTTGTGTGTGCGCGCGTGCGTGCGTGCGCGCGAGTCTGTTTGCTCTGGTTTGATTTAGAATTGGAATTTACTGCTGATAACGGTACAGGAAAATTAATTAACAAGGGATAGGGACCCAGCAGAGTGTATCTAAACATTATTAGGTTAATATTGTGACCGGAAAACGATTCATGAGATTGTTATTATCTTGCAAGCGGAAGTTGAAAATTATCATATTAATTATTATGTTTATAAAGGTAGGCATTTCTTCGATAAAGAATAACTGGGCATGAACTCTTTAAAATAATCGTGTTACTTCATGATATATTTTCCTGAAAAGTACAATTACGAATAACGCCTCAATTAACGTCTGAAATAATGTCATAACGTCACTGCGAGAAAGACATGAAAAACCACTTTCTGTCGTTCTAATAAATGTGTTTTGTAGCAAGTTTGAACACCGCTCTATCTGCATATTATATTAGTATATTAGCATAGTATACATATTCAATATTGTTACAGGAACGTGCGTGGAATGACCCCTCTTGACCTAGCTGCCAAACACGGTGAGGTAGAGATCTGCGAGATGCTGGTCAAGAAGGAACAGCTGACGTGGGCGGGCAGGGGCGGGAACGTAAGTGCGACCAACCCTGCGTGAATGTCCCACGTGTGTATGTGTTTGTGTCACTGTCTGTATGTATCGTCGGCGGCATGACAGCTCCACGAATCAGGACCAGACAATCCAGTGAGTGAAACCATGAGCAACAACCCCCCTGTTTTGACACCTCGTTACCCAAATCGCGTACCCTTGGTACTCCAGGTACTGAGGCAACCAGCACTGGATGTGGGGTACCATGCATATCCCAACGTAGGAGAATTTGGGCCAAGAACATTCCGAAAACATGTGCAATTGTACAATGTATCTGCTTGTATAATTATGCCATTCACGCTCTTATGTAAGAGCCACCAAAACAAAATGCTAGGTATTGTTTGTACTCTGGGCCTATGGCCCTATAACCGAAATAAATTGAATTTGAATTTGAAGAATTTGCACTACACAAAAGACAGACGAGAGAATGGCATACTGTTCAGTGTACCCAACCATTAACATGGAACATATATTTTGCTAATGAAGGGAAGACCCTCTGGATCTGAGCAGTTTTCCCACAAGCTTATACGTATTGATACGATTGGATTGTGGATTATCATGAACATATATATGTATGTATATATATATGCATGCATATCTTTATGAATGTATTCTGTTTCTAGTTCCTCAATGTATTGTTATTTATAACTATTGTCATTATCATGAATGTATGTAGTTTGTGTCATTACTTAGGTTAGCCTAGGGGTTCATGCGTTTGCTCGTCAATCTGAAGACCCTGGTTTGATACCCAACATTGGTACAACGCGTGAAGCCCGTTCAGGTTGACCCACCCATGATATGGAAGAACTTTCGTTAAATGGTGGCAGGCCATCCTCACTCACCCTCTTGATATATGATGTAAAACCTCCTGTTCTATACATACGACTTCACTGCTACTCGAGTGTTTATTCTACAGGAAGGTCCCCTCCATCTGGCCTGTCGGGAGGGTCATCTCAGCGTGGCCATGCTCCTTCTCCGGACCAAGGCGGACATGACGTCCAAGAACAGCGAGGGACTAAACTGCCTAGATCTGGCCATCATGCATGGACACAAGTAGGACATTATCATAGTTATTATTACGTTTTACAGATTAGATAATAATTTGCAACAGAGAGGGTTCGGTGATGCTCGTCATCAGCTCGGGACCTTGCCCCTTCTACACGCAGCCCAGACAGCGAATGGGACATCTCCCAGGAAACGCTGCCTAGTCGAACCAACCAAGAACTTTCCGGAGAATATGTAGACTCCCCAACACTGCAGCCTTCTGCATTACCCAGAATGTCAGAAGGGCATTCGCCTGATCTGCCCAAAGAGGTCAGGAGGTACCAAACCAAAGGGCACCGAGAACAGTGTACTTGGGATGCAAGCGAGACATTTCAAAGGCGAGGTCCGCATATTTATCATGCTTTTCCTGAATTTTGCCAATCACGTTGCTGTCAAAAAGAGAAATTTCAATGATATAAATAGATTCATTGGCTTTGTCAAAAAGGACAAGATCATGTTTGATGGCTGGAATTCTTCTGAGACTGTATTTTGGCCTATTCCAAAGAAGCTTAAAAGCATCATTTTCCATGACGCCCTGGACATGTTCAGGGTCGTACCATGGATGGACCTCGGAGTCAAAGCCACAGGCATGGCGAAGACGGTAATAGAAGCAACGAGCCATCATGTCATTTAAGATATGCTGTTTGTGCCAAGGAAGGGCATATACACCAATACGCTCTACTTGCCAGTTCCTATGTGATTGTGAAATGGGATCCATACTAGGTCTGTCAAACAGCTCATTTTAGATCCTGAGTATGTTGAGTGACTGATTGTAGTGTTATTATCACTCCACCCGAATTATATATACTAACATAAGTAAACACTGCAAGACGACAACCGACATTAAATGCCATGTCGGTATATTTTTTAACAGATAAAATATTTTCTTATATGTGCTCCACAGACTCCAAAAGGTAGCAATATCTTTCTTCAATTAAAAAAATGAAGTAGGTTATGAAAGCGGGAACAGTTGACGAATTTTCTAATTCTAATTTTCAAAAGGGACATTGCCCGCTACATCTTGCGCCATGATTTGTGGAAGGAACCTATGAGGAACAGTTTCAGTCCGAAAAAGAATCACAACAAAGGTGTCTCTAAAAAGATCGTAACACCCATGAGGAGGCTGATTCGAACCATGCCAGGTGAGTAGAAATGTAGCTGTAGTGTAAATTGCTTGATATTATACGTGGTGGGCGAGCTGTCTAAAGCGCCAGGCTAGTGATCCAGCGAGGTTTTGGTGTCGGGATCGAGCCCAACCTGCGACCGGGTGTAAAAACCTTGGAGTCAACTCACACATGAATGCGTGCAAACACCAAGTGACTATGTGTCCCAGTCCACCCAGCTGTGAATGAGTTCCTCGTAAGGATGGGAAAGTTACATTGTCTTGAAGCGCCTAGTGGCTGCAAGACTTGTATGGTCCCTAGGGAGTTGAGATTGATTATACGATGTGCTGTTCTGACTGACATCCATTGATCGAGGGAAAAACAGCACCGTGAGCAATTACTGGTTGCGTGGATATGTTAGCTGTATGAATATCCTATAATAATAAATAATTATACATTCATACAATCAGAAATGGAACACATCAATACTCCCTTGTGTGTGGAGGAGAACCAGCCACAGTTTATATATGTTTGTATATGTTCATAACGGGTGCCACCGGCGGGGCTAACACCCGGTATCATCACTGTTTCATAGTGATTCACAAACACTTGCTCCGTTACCGTAGCTTATGATGTCCATCACTAGATTGTCAGGTCGAGTATTTACAGATCTCCGTCATATAGCTGTCACATTGCTCAACGTTAAACAGAGAAACAATGAAAC